CTTCAAATGGCTTTGATGATACTCGGAACATAGGTATATGTATAGTGTTTCTCAAAATTGATCGTACAGCTGTACTTAAATTTTAGAAAAACGGCTCTAAAACCGCAAGTTAAAAAGAAATGTTTTTGAATTTTTGGCAGCTGACTCAGCATAATACAGCATACATGGTTCAGTATTGGGCATATTTGGTTGAGCTTATAAAAAGTTAGAGAAATTTAAGAAAAATCGCCTTGTTCTCGAAAAACCTTAAAATCAGTGTAATTTTATGAGTGTTTCTCCATGATTTATCAATTTATGTTTATTTATCACATTGCCATTGAATATACGGCGTTTATATCTTTTCTTGAGATTTCATGTGATAAATAATGAAAAAGGGTAAAAAATTACGTAAAAAAAGTTTATCCACCCCAAACGGATACTACGACTTAAGTGTGTTTTACAGAGTTTTAGTGTGTATTCTGCAATTTTCTCGGATGTAAACATTGTGTAAGTGCAGATTATTTTTATTTGCTCGGGAGAATCCGGAATACATCTGCTATAATGAGGATCTTGGTACTCAATGCGGCTTGTTTTGGCTAATGTAATAATCTGGCCACTTCCCTGGGGGTTCCTTGAAGAGGACTGTTACTGAACATGCGTTTGAAAGAATAATGAAAACGGAATAAATATCTACGCAACCTGTTAATTTTCCCATTATACAGGGTAGGTTTCTGAATCAAAACGTCAACTATTATTAAACTAGAACGTCAAAATCGAATACATGTTGCAATTCAACCAAAAGTTTGGGGGGTTTGGCAGCTGTAGAATACCCCTGGCTTCCGAACGTCATTATGGCACTGTTTCCACCAATGAAAGATATTGTGTTTGAATCCTTATGCGTTTAACATGCTTGTACTATTTTCCAATTTGGGGCAGTTTACGAGAAATACCTCTTCTAAAATTTAGAAGCGTATTTAAGCCTTTAAATCAACGGCGTATGGAAAATTATAACGGCGGCGTGTTAAGAGTGATCACGGCGGTGGCGGCGTGTGAAAAAGTGTCGGCGGCGGCGGCACAGCGCGACGGCGCACAGGTCTAGTCCCGACTTGCGGGAAAGTTTAAAGATCTTCAAGAGAATATTCAGACAACTTCGTACATTTCAGGAAAATGTTGAAAACTTCATCGAAGATCTAGAGAAGTTTTTAGGAGAACCTCAGAGTAGTTCTGAGGAGAACTTCAGAGTAGTTCTGAGGAGAATTTCAACGTAATTCAGAGGAGACCTTCAGAATAGTTCATAAGAAAAAGTTCAAAGTAATTCTGAGGAGAACTTTTGAGTAGTTCTGAGGAGAACCCAAGTAACAATTTCCAGTTGAAGAAACGCTTTCGGTTTGATTTTGTTCAGCTGCATGTTGAATAATAATTGCACAATGTGTTCACCACAACTTTTATAAAACCCTTGTTTACACTGGTTTGGAGAACCTATACAACTGCAACACAAAGGTGTTGTCTAACGTATTCAGTAAAACGTTTACCCAAAATCAATTTCTTGTTGAAGAAACGCTTCCATTGTGATTTTATTCAACTGCATGCTGAATAATAACTGCACAATTTGTTTATTACAACTTCTGTAAAACTCTTGTTTACACTGGTTTGGAGAACCTGTTCAACTACAGCATTATATGTATACGCGGTATAGGAGTAGAAGCAACTTTTATACAACGTTTATAGATACATATTTAAACTCAAGCTTTATTATTTTGGTGAAAGCTCTTATACAACGTTTGTAGATACTTCTTGACAGCTGCTTTGAAATTTAGTAGAGAGTAAACCTGAGAGGCGTTTGTTGCACTCTTTTATGACTCCTAAATAATCATTGTACAGCAAGCGGTGAAAAACGTTTATAGCACTTTTTAATGACTCCTTAATAACCGTTGTGTAAGTACTCACAATATTCACAGATTAAAATTAGTTTAACAATTGTCGTGGTACGCCAAAATAATTGCTTGTACAGTTTTTATTAATTTAATTGATTTGTGCACATTGAAAAAATATGTAATTATGCCATAATTAACATTCTGTGATCATGGAGGAAGTAGCAACAGGCATCTGTTTAATCTTTGACTGATATTCTTTCAATTAATCTCTCTAATCATTAATTGAGAGAATTTATCTAGAAATGTTATCGTTGATAATATGATATATGTCTTAAATTAATGTTTGCATTTATTAATATAACACCTATATATAATTTACCTCTACTTCACCGAGGGTTTCTCGAAGCAAGATTCGAACTCATGATCCCGGATTGCCAGCCGCTTCTGTTTCCATCTGCTCTATTCTTGAATACATATTTTGATCATATGAGAGAAGTATATGAAGCTCATCTTGAGTGACTTCTCTTGCAGTCGAATAATCATTGCCTTATGGTCATATAAACGTGCCTATCACTTGTGCTATTTTTAGCAACAAAATTGTGGTTGGTGGTTGGTCGAACGTAAACAATAATTTAAGAGTGCTCCAAGCAGCTTTTGAAGCTTTTAACCAAATGGCAATACAACTACATTCTTGTTCAACTCTGGAAGCTATTATTCAAAGTTTGATCAACTCAGGTGTTGTATAAGAGCTCCCAATGGTTTGTTTTGATGCGTTTATTCCACATCCTATATGGCTCCTGTCAAACAGTTTAACCGAACGTAAACAATCATTTAAGAGTGCTCCAAGCAGTTTTTGAAGCTTTTAACCAAAAAGGCAATACAACCAACCGGTGGAAACTATCGATTTAAAATTGGCTCACTACTTGACTAGCCTATTGGTCCCAAGCCAACGATTAACGTATCCCATTCTAGTCGAATGTCTAGCACTAAACTATGTTTGTTTTGATTCTCTATGAAAGTTTGACAGATAAAATGAGAGGTTCGTGGATTTTCCCATGTTTCGAGGGGTGCATCGATTAGCTTGGGACCGAAGATAGTACCAGAGCTGAGCCAAAAAGTTGAGCACGTTTCTTCGGGACCTACTAGTCTTAGAGTTACCTCTATGATACAACTACATTCTTGTTCAACTCTGGAAGCTATTATTCAACGTTTGATCAACTCAGGTGTTGTATAAGAGCTCCCAATGGTTTGTTTTGATGCGTTTATTCCACGTTCTATATAGCTCTTGTGAATCAGTTTAACTAAGGTGCTATAAAAGTTATCGTAGGTCTTATAAAGCATTAGTTAAATCGAACGTAAACAATCATTTAAGAGTGATCCAACAGCTTTTAAAACTTTTAATCAAATGGCAATACAACTACATTCTTGTTCAACTCTGGAAGCTATTATTCAACGTTTGATCAACTCAGGTGTTTTATAAGAGCTCTCAATTGTTTGTTGGGAAGTTCAAAGTAGTTCTGACGAAAACTTCAAAGTAGTGCTTAGGAGAACTTTAGAGAAATTCGGAGGAGAATTTCAGAGTAGTTCTGATGAGAACTTCAGAATATTTCTGTGGAGAGTGTCAGAGTAGTTCTAAGGAGACATTCACAGTAGTTCTGAGGAGAACTTCAGAGAAGTTCTGAAGAGAATTTCAAGGAAGTTCCGAGAACTCCAGTGAAGTTCCATTGGCTTCAGGATAATTTCGAGCAATTTATGAATCTCCCCGGGAGCACCCAGTGGGGTCCCGAGCACTTAATATGGTCACAAATGTTCTTACTTTTGAATTCTCATATCGTTTGGTGTGTCACATGAGGATGTAGGTTCAAGTTTCACTTCTCCGGGGGTATCCGTAATATGTTCGGATCTGGCCAACGTGGTACTGGGTACTTAATATGGCCACCAATGATCTTATTTGTGTGTCGCATGAGGGTGTAGGTTTACTTCCCCGGGGGTACCCGGAACATGTCCAGATCTGGCTAACATGGTCTTCAGTACTCAATATGGCCACCAATGATCATATTTTTGAATTATCATGTAATTTGATGTATCGCATGTGGGTGCCTGACCAGTTCCTCGGGCGTACCCGAAATATGTTCGAATGCATGGTTCTGATTACATATTACGACCTTGGATGATTATTTGGTTTACGTCTTGAAGGTTCTGGTTTACTCAAAATTACAAAAAATAAAACTGAAAGCGTTGAGCACTTCTCAGGCTGCCGCTCAACCGCAGCGCGTATTTCCATAATGTTGCGAAAAACGCGTTTTAGTACAATGCCGCTTTTGCCGCCACGCACTCATAGTGGGTTGTCAAACGGATTTCAGTGTATTGGATAATTTGCGATTGCCGCTATGCCGCTATCATTGTGTTCAGTCCTTAAGTTTTTTTTTATTCACTATGAAAGTTTGACAGATAAAATGAGGGATTCGTGGATTTTCCTATGTTTCGAAGGGTGCATCGATTAGCTTGAGACCGAAGATAGTAGGGGAATTTACGTATTCTCGGCAACCTAAGCAGCGACCTTCTTTCTATAGCCTTTTTCTCTAAGGAACGCACACATATGCAGTATTGGTTTGTTTACAATCTTTTGCTGCCAGCTGCTCTAACAATTTCAGTCGAAAGAATTGTCAAAAACTGTTTTGAACCGCTTTTAAAAAGCTCCAATCTTCTCTAGTGAGAGCGAGTATTGTCGGCAACCAGTTTTTCTTCGGCAACCGTTCCATTTGAACTACATGTAAATCTGCTGTTCTATTATCGGCAACTCGAAATCAGCTACAATTTGTAGTGCGTGTGTTGCATTTCAAGGAAACCTTGCTAGATTGCTTTTTCTCAGTGGTAAAAATATAGTCAAATTGAAGCTGAAAGCATAAAGTATCGTTTGCATGCATTCAGCGAAGTGTTTTCGTAAGAAAATCCAGTGAAAATAGTGTTTCAATTTGTGTTGCCGAAAATAGTCTGTCATGCCGAAGCCGTCATTTCCCCTACCAGAGCTGAGCCCGTTTGAGCACGTTTCTTCGGGACCTTCTGGTCTTAGAGTTACCTCTATGGTACTAACACAATAGTTTTATTTGTTTGATAAACAGTTTTTTTTTTGTCTTTCAAGCTTACCTAGTAACAGCAGGATCAGATCGGAAACGGCCAGGCTGAACAGGTAGTAGTTGGTGGCGGTGTGCATCTGTGGATGCCGGATGATCACCAGACACACAATCAGGTTACCGATGACACCGGTAATCAGGATACCGGTAAAAAGGATGGTGACCTGTGGAGAAGAGAAATGGAACAAAAATATATGTCAATAACATCTGAAGATGAAAGTACCCCAAATTATTAAAAATTAAAAACATTAAAAACTTCTGTAACAAGAAGTACTACAAGAATTTTACCATGTTTTTCGATGTTAAATTGTCGATATTAAAAAAAACAGGGCTGTGGAGTTGAATCTAAATCGACCGACTTTCGAACACTGCATGCTAGGTGTCCTTAAAGACAGAATAATCAGCGAGAAACTCAATTCAATCATCCGCACTTTTCGTCGCGTCGCATATGTTTCGGTCTTGGAACATTTAGTTTTACATGATATATTTGCTTACGTCCCATGATTTACTTCAAAGATAAATTCTGGAGTAAAAATAATCATTTCTAAGTTTGTAACTTTTAATAAGATATGTGATGTGAGAGATAAGGTTACTCCTTACAAAAACCTTCACAACCTTACACGCTTTTGATTTTATTTTTAAATTAACTAACCACCACTTCTAACAAAATTGGTTAACTTTCGAGCATCAATCAAAAATCACATGTTTCGCTATTTTTAAAATATCTTCAGTAATTTTCAACGCATTTCTGATTTTTGTATCTTGATGGATGGTGCTCGAAGAGTCATCGGTCCATGAGTTGATGGGTTGATAGGTAGGGTTCAGGTGTGGGAGCTGCCTCCCTGGCGTTGGTAGCATTGGTACTCAGTACGGAAAACAAGATCTATGGAAAAACAGATCAAGGCAAAAACAAACTACAAGGGACAGCCTTATGGGGTTGTACGTAATGGTGACGTAGGACTACGTGGTCTTATATCAGGCGTAACATTTGATAACGGCACAAAAGCTTTTGTAAACAAACTTTCTAAGGCCCTTTACACGCGACCGAAAGTACGCTCACGCAAACCAATACCATTTTCGGAAAGGTGAGAGTTGCCCCTATCCGATGATGTTGTTGGTTTGCGTGAGTGTACTTCGGTTCACATGTAAAGGGTTTACAAAAGCTTTTGTACCATTATCAAAGGTTACGCCTGTAATAAACCTTATTTGTAAACTGCAACAGGAGCTTGTGTTTTGTGTAGGAATAGGAATTTGTCCAGGGTTCTCTCTGTTTATACAGTATGACGCGCTTGACATAGATGGTCCACAGCGACTCAGGAAGAGCTACTGATTCCGATCAATAGCGGCGCGGCTTCTTCCTCCTTCTATGGATGCTCATGTGGGCTGCAGCTCGCTGACTGCAGGCAGCCTTTCATTGTGTACTGGAAAACGCCACCACTCACCACGCGGTGATTGAATATACACCGTTTGGTGAGGCTGGATGGATTTCATCTTTGAAATCTGTGTTAGGAAAATCGCTTTTCGGTGAAAATTTTAATTGTCATAGCAACAGTTGCTCATCCGTGCATTTTTCGATAGTGCCTTTTTGAAAAAAATGATAAAGTCTTAATTTTAACAGGTTCATTGAAAAAAATCCTATCGATTGGCGTATTAAGAATCAAAATCCATCATCTCTGGATCAAAATCAGACCACTTTCATGCCGCGACCGGCTTTGGTTTTTTAAATCGCACTCCCAATGTTGCCTTAAAGTACATGGTATGTTAGATTTACACATATCTAGATAGAGCTGGAATTAGAAGTAACAGCTTTTGTAAACAATGACTTCTCTCAATGATTTTTAGGAATTCAAGGCACATCCACGCAAACCAATGTTACCGTCGGGTGGAGGAAGTCTTACCCTACCTGATAGTGATGTTGATTTGCGTGGGCGATCCTTTCATTCTAGCTGTACATTGAAATGGGAACTGACATCCGATTGATGACGTTGACAAATGTCCAAAAAATATACTTTTACAAATTTATGGTGGCCCTGAAAAGAACCGTTTTGTAGTGATGGTTGGGTAATGCTGAGCTGATAAACACAGATGAGGCTGGTGACCTGTATGTTGTTTGGAATAACGCTGACACGCTTGGCATAGATGGCCCACAGCGACTCAGGAAGAGCTACTGATTCCGATTAATAGCGGCTCGGCTTCTTCCTCCTTCTATGAATGCTCATGTCGGCTGCAGCTCGCGGTTGAGGCCAGCCTTGATAGCTATCTGCTTGCGGGGAGCCTTTCGTTGTGCTCTGGAGAACACCACCACTCACCACGCGGTGATTGAATAAACACCGTTTGGTAAGACCGGATGGAATTCAACTTTAAAATCTGTGTAAGGGAAATCGCTTTTCACAGATAATCGGTGATAATTTTATTAATCATTGCAAATGTTGTGCAATCGTGCAATTTTCAATGGTGACATTTAAAAAGAAATCTTAAATTTAACAGATGCGTAGAAATATATCTGATCGATTGGTGATACGATTATTGAAATTGGTCCAGGGGCAGCTGACTTATTAACATTCAAAATCTTTCATATTTTTGTTACATGTTCCATTTTCGGTTTTCACAAAGTGTACCCCCATATAGAAATGACAGACGTAGTCCTACGTAAAAAAAAAAAAAAAGTAGAAGTGTCTGTGCCTAGGGGCACAAACGGAAGCTTGACGTAGGACCGCTAGTGGACGGAATAAATGTGAAGAGCATTAAGTTCATTTAATTGATCAAATCAGGCATAACATTTGATAACGGCACAAAAGCATTTGTAAACAAACATTCTAAGGCCCTTAACACGCGAACTAAAGTATAAGTCTTCAGTAATTTTCAACGCATTTCTGATTTTTGTATCTTGATGGATGGTGCTCGAAGAGTCTTCGGTCAATGAGTTGATGGGTCGATAGGTAGGGTTCAGGTGTCGGAGCTGCCTCCCTGGCGTTTGTAGCATTGGTACTCAGTACGGAAAACAAGATCTATGGAAAAACAGATCAAGGCAAAAAAAAAACTACAAGGGACAGCCTTATGGGGTTGTACGCAATGGTGACGTAGGACTACGTGGTCTTATATCAGGCGTAACATTTGATAATGGCACAAAAGCTTTTGTAAACAAACTTTCTAAGGCCCTTTACACGCGACCGAAAGTACGCTCACGCAAACCAATACCACTTACGGAAAGGTGATAGTTGCCCCTATGCGATGATGTTGTTGGTTTGCGTGGGCGTACTTTGGTTCGCGTGTAAAGGGCCTAAGAAGGTTTGTTTACAAATGCTTTTGTGCCGTTATCAAATGTTATGCCTGAAATATCTATTATCTCAACTCTTTCCGGTTTTGAATTGTAGGCGATCCAAATTTGTAGTAATCTTTTTCAAAAAGAAAGTTGATTACGATAATCAATCAAAATCACTTGCACCCCTGCTTCCAAGCTTGTGTGGTCGTTGGGGGCTTGTGGTTCTGAATATGGACAAACAAGCATAGATAAATTCTATTCCAACTCTTTACTGATGTAAGCTAGATGGCCCTGAAAAGGGCCGTTTTATTGAAGAGGACATCCATGGCCACTTACGCTTGGCGTGTTTAGTGTAGGTGACAGCATCACGGACCTCATTTTCCACGAACACCTTCAGCACACCTCGTAGATCAGACCGGAGATACGTCAGACACTGCGACGGCGAGCCAGACGACGGATGGTAGTTATCTCGAAGAATTTGCTATGACGATTGGCACCTCCTTTGCCACGACCTACTGCTGCTATTGCTCACCACGCCGTCCGAAGCGAAAATGAGCTGATACCAGTAGTAGTAAAATTTACGTTTATTTTCTGGGTTTTATGTTTCAACATTTGATTTAACATTTCAATTGGTTAGCCTTTGGCTCTTCATCTTTGTTCTAGTTAATTGGTTATTCTAATGTGATGATTGCGTTTAGCGCTAATTTACAGGATACCCTTTGTGGGATTGTTTTGGTTTGAATTTAAAAATTTGATAACCTACCTACTTGAGCACCTAACTACTTAAACTAGGTTGCCAAATCACGAATGATCTGGTGGTTTGATCGCAGACAGGCGACTCTGAACCTTTCCAGCGTGGAAGTCTTTCGCTCCTCGAGTGTTTGAAGACCGGCCAGGTGGTGAATCTCAGAATTACGAGTTCGCGGTGGACTGTTAAGGATCATTCTGAGGATCTTGTTTTGGATCCTCTGAAGCTTTAAGTGGTAGCACTTAGCACAACTCTCCCAGATTGGCATACCATACTCAATAGCCGGCAGAATGATTTGCTTGTGGACAGCAAGCTTGTTTTTGAGGGACAGGGTGGACTTCCTGTTTATCAGAGGGTAGAGCGACCTGATCAAGATGTTACACTTGGTGGATGTCTTGTCCACATGGGATCGGAATAGCAATTTGCTATCGAGGGTGAGACCAAGGTAGACTACTTCACTCGACCATTCAATGGGAGTGCTATCAAGATGGATCTTGACGTTAGCAGGCGGGACAAGCCGAGGTGAATACGAATGTGGAAACAGAATGGTTTGTGTTTTAGCTGCATTGATACAAATCTTCCAGCTCTTAAAATAGTCGGACAAAACATCCAGGCCTGATTGTAGTTTACTCGCCAGAGCACGGATCACTCGACCCTTATAGATGATGGAGGTGTCATCTGCGAACATTGACAGGATACCACCACCCGGCAGGGGAGGAACGTCTGACGTGAAAATGTTGAATAGGATAGGCCCAAGCAGGCTACCTTGAGGGACCCCTGCATCAACGTTGAACGTATCAGAGGAGACATTGTTCAAGTAGACCTGGAATGAGTAGTAGTTTTTGATGATCTTCACGAGGTAGTTCGGAAAGTTGTATCGATGCAGCTGATACCAGACTTACTTGACTTAAAAATTATCTTTATTTCTTGTGTTTGTGTGGTTTACATTGATGAATTTTTCAAGTGACACAGATGCGTCTTTTCAACTTTAGTTCATTTGAGATTTTAATTATTATTTACAGTTACTAGTCCTGTCAGGCCTATTTTAAAGTATGACCACCTTGGTGGGATTGGTTTGATTTGAATTGGAAAAAAGGAGACTACTTATAACTACTATTTACAACTACAACTAACCTACAACTACTATATACACC